TAAAGCGCCCTTCTTTCTCCGCGCTGGCTGTTGGCGTCCTGTTGATGACGTCAACGACATGGTTTAATCAGGTGTGGCTTAGTCGAGCGCGGTTTTGACGGGTCACGCTTTCACAGTACACATATTGGAGATGGTTTAGTACATGTATTATTTATCATCTTATTTTCTACATAAATATCTGTGTGCTATGCTGAGAAAGAGATGTTCAGTTTTAGTGCAAAGAACTCTAAACCTTTTGCCTGTATCAGGAAGAAGAATTTTACCATCAGCTATTTAAGCCGAGATAAGCAAAACCAAGAAATGTACTTGTCATTGATGTCAGACTGGGATCTGGGGATGGCCTTTGCTGGAGCTTCTAAGCCTTTTTTACAACTAAAGATAGACATCAAGCCCTTGGAAGACAGTGAGTAATTTTTACTTGTCATTAACTAGAGAGCAAATAATAAAGATTCTACTCCCTCACATCTTGTTCTCATTATATACACTTTACTGCAGGGGGCACGTTCCATCAACAGAGTTCCTTATCTTTAGCTTCTCTATTTATATTGTTCTTGTGGGGATGGTGGCTGATAGCTGTTGTAGAAGAGAAGGTATGAATCACAGCATTGTTGATAGATACAGCATTGATAGGCATAGTCATGGATGGAGAAACAGCAATAGGGTTGAACAGGTAAATCTGTGCATGTGTGCTTTGGAACATCCCACCCATTACTTGACTCATTTGAAAGCTATCTGTTTATCAGGCCCCTTTTTGTACAGTGTACTCTTTCCAGCTTGAAGCATGCAAAAATTAACATGGCTTAGAGCATTATGTAATCTAATAACCATTCTGGGTGAAAACCCTGCTGGCTTAGAATGCAGTTAGACTGAAATATAAGCTTGAAAAGGCCCTCCCTATATTATTTTTTCTCAAAAGAACCAAAGTAAGTGAATGTATGATTTAGTAAATCATAGTAGTTGCACTAACCTTGTTTTAAATTCTTTTCTTCTTATAACAAGATACATACACTCTAGTTTGCCTCCTTTTTGGTAGACAAGTGTGAATGCAGAGTGAGGAGGAAGATTGGCAGAACTGGTTTGGGGAATGTGCTCAGAATATCATACTCTTTCAGGCCCCCTGCTAGAAGATTGGGATATTATCAGCCCTAAGGATGTTATCAGTACCGACTTGCTGCTAGTGGAGAAGAGGTCTCTGGCGGCTGCAGCCCTGCCCTTCACCCAGTCCATCATTTCCCAGGTGGGTCTTCAGGGAGTAGAGTTGCTAGCTTATATTTTCATTGGATGGTATTTGCAAGATCTAATAATGCAAATGGAGTGGCCTGCATTCTTATGCATCAGTTTCAATATTGCTATATTACACTCTTGTGAAAGCACAGGGTTTATATGCACAAGATGCTGGTTGTTTTCTTTAAAGATCTCAGCGGCTTGGAATCTGGATATCTAAAAGATTGCCTTTCTCTGGTAAATTCTACCAACCTGCTCTGAACAATCAGAGAAAGGCTACCCAGGATCCCCATTTACTAGGAGATGCAGTGCGGGAAGGACTGACAACAGCATTCTTTGTAGCACTCTTTGCCCTATGGAATAGCTTATACTCCAAAGTGAGGATGGATCCCAACGTTGTGGCCTTCTGGAGAATTGTAAACGGGTTATCTTTTCCAGAGGGTCTTTCAAAATTGATTCTGAAGCCATCAGAATGAGCTCTATTTTAATATGTTGCAGTATTTATCTAGTAATAGTCTGGCAAGATTCCTGCCTAGAGGTGAGCAACAAATACACTACTCTAATCAGCTCATTGTGTGGTTTCTGGTTTCCTGTACCTGACACGAATCACTCTTCCCCCAACCTTCCAATTTTTAAGTAGTTGTTAACCTAAAATCTTGTATGGTAAAATATGGAACTATTTGTGATGTGGGGTTTTTTCCTTCCAGTTTTAAGTCGTTGACTGTTGTTATTGACCTCAGATTTCTTTTTTGCTTTTTGTCAGGTGGGACGGACGTTGTCAAAGGTCCAGCAGGCACTCAGCTGGTCCTACGGGGAAGATGTCAAACCTTTCAAACCTCCTTTGAGCGACTCAGAATTCCATACGTATTTGAATCATGAAGGCCAGTTGACAAGACCAGCAGAACTGCGTCTCCGAATCTTCCATGGTGGAGTTGAGCCTTCCTTGCGCAAGGTGAGAAGAGGCATTTGGGCTGGTAGTAGTTGTCCGCCCTTTATTACAGGGGAAAGATTTATTCCTGTAGCTGATCCATCAACTAGTCGCTACGGATGAAGGAAGTTTCTTTTAAAACGGAATCCACCCTGTCTCTGCAGGTTGTTTGGAGGTATTTGCTAAATGTCTATCCTGATGGCTTGACTGGGCAGGAGCGTATGGATTACATGAAGCAGAAGACACGTGAGTATGAGCAACTGAAGGGGGAATGGGAAGCACGGACCAAACCTGAAGACCTGGATTTCATCCGTAGTAATGTGCTGAAGGATGTTCTGCGAACAGATCGCACTCATCCCTACTATGCTGGTTCAGATGATAATCCTCACCTGACAGCCCTGCATGATCTGCTGACCACCTACGCTGTGACCCACCCGCAGATTTCCTATTGTCAGGGTATGAGTGACATTGCTTCTCCCATCCTGGTTGTAATGGACAATGAAGCCCATGCCTTCATCTGTTTCTGTGGCATCATGAAACGCCTGGAAGGTAACTTCCAGATAGATGGCGAAGTCATGTCCGTTAAGTTTATCCATCTCAAGCTTCTCCTCCGCCATTCAGATCCAGATTTCTACTCCTACCTCCTGTCTCGGGGTGCCGATGACCTCTTCTTTTGCTATCGTTGGCTGCTGTTGGAGCTGAAACGTGAGTTTGCGTTTGAGGATGCCTTGCGCATGCTGGAGATCACGTGGAGTTCCTTTCCTCCTGATCCTCCAGAGAAGGAAGTGGAATTAGTGGGCCCTCCCGTCAGGCCCGGAGACAGCAACCAATCTATCCGAAGGAGACACATGCTACGCCCAGCTTGTAGTTTTGAAGCAGCTGGGGATCGGCCGTGCCAGGGGGCAGTTGCTGAAGAGAAGGTATTAGTAAAGCAGTCTAGTTTTGGGGAATTCAAGTACTACATTACTCATAACGAAGACAATTTGGAGGATGACTCGTCACCCAGACCTCAGCATTCAGAGGATGAGAAGGAAGATTGTACCAGTGAGCAGGATCCATTGATTCAGACAACTAACATGGCTAAATCCTTCTCTGCTCCATCTCTTCGGGCCTTGACGCCACCCTCTCGAGATTCTGTCTCCTCCTCAACTAATGGCAATGAGGAAAGTCAATCAGAGGAAGAGAAGGGAGATTCAGTGGTTAATACCCCTTCTTCTCCCTCCCATGGACCTACTACTTCTTCTACTCCTCCTGCCCTAGTCAGCCTCCCCCCTCCTCAAGAATTTGGCAAAGGCAACCCCTTTGTACTCTTCTTATGTCTTGCCATTCTTTTGGAGCATCGAGACCATATCATCAAAAACAACATGGACTACAATGAGTTAGCCATGCATTTTGATCGCTTAGTCCGCCGGCACAACCTTAACAAGATCCTTCACCGTGCCAAGGCCCTGTTTGCTAACTACTTACAGTCAGAAGTTTGGGATTCTGAAGAGGGAGATGAGGCAGCAGCCGAATCTCCCGCGGTGTCATGATTCTCCCTTCGTCTTGATGTGCAGGGACAGGTTCCCTGCGGTCATTATGGTGCAAGCATCGATGTGGAAGAGTGGTCAGTGAAGTAATCCAATTTAGGCTCAATCATTCAGCAATCCTCTTAGATGGTCTGGAGCAACTAGATTGGATTGCCACACTCAATACACCTTCTGTATCTAATGTATCTGTTTTTAATGAACTCTTTGGGCAAATATCCCATCCATTTTGGTGCCCCCTTCTCTTCCAAGTGCTAAATAGTCTTTCAAAGAAGAGTTTACCCTGGAGCAGCCAGGTTCTTCCCATTTCCCCTCCCTAATCAATACTTCCCAAATATTTCTCCCTCTGTCATTTCTTAAGATGTCGGTTGCTAAGAGACCCAGATTGATTTCTGATCCTTCTAAAATCAAGATCTTTTCTTCCCCATAGCTTTGCCAAAAACATTTTTAATGTTCCACCGTGGTATATTTTTATTTGAGCTCGTCAGAAGTTCTACAAAGCTGCTTCAGCTTTTAAAAAAATGCTTCATATGCTTATTTCAGTGTTTTTTGGCCCAGTGTTTTTTTTTTTAAAAAAGCACTTCATTTTTTTTTCTGGGGCTTCTGTTCCACTTGTAGCTTTTGATTGTTTAAAAAA